GAAGCCGCGACTGCGTGGCAGCAGGGAAAATGGCCACGGATCCGGTTCGTAAGTAGAGGCGGAGTTCGCAAGTAGAGGGAAATTTTTGGGGCCAGAGCTGGGCGTTTCTTGAAAAATTCGTAAGGAGGGGCGTTCGTAACTAGAGGTACCACTGTAATGCCAATTAAGCCACATTATGGCTTAGGCAACATGTGAATCCACCCAACAGTAGCAAATACAGGTGATCCTCATTTAGTGACTGCAATTGGTTCCCACAACTCAGTAGTTAAGAGAAATGGTTGCAAAGTGAACATGTGATTGAGAGGTTGTTGCTTCTCATTTAGATAAAGTTCTCTCATATATGCCCTGTGCCTGACTCATTTTTTCCCCTTTTTTTGCCCTTCACAGGGCAGAGAGATTGCTTAAAAGAGCTATCTTTTCCAGAGCTGCTTTTCTTCACAACACAATGCATCTCTAAAACGGCTATGGCAAATTAAAAAGCTCAGCTCTGTGATCTTAATTAGTTGATTAGAACCCTCCCTGAAACTGACCGGACCTTAATCAATTTCACACTGAAAACTTTTGTTGTCATAAATGTGGGCGTTGGTCAGAAAATCAATTTTTTATTACTGTTTATTACTGTTGTATTTACAAACAGTCACTATCTGAGGCAGTTGCTAAATGAGGATTATCTGTATTAGTCCAGTACTGACTTGGTGAAGTGAAGGTCATATTCAAATCCTTAAAGACAGCTAGTGTGATACAGTGGTTAGAGTGCTGGGAAGCTCTGGGTTCAAATCCTGGCTTAGTCCAATGCTGCCTAGGTGATCACGGGAAAATTATTTTTTTCCTGGCCTCCTGTTACTTGCAGAATTATTTTGCAGGCAAGAGGAAGAGAAAGTTGCTTCTTGGAACACAAAGTTAAGCACCTGTTGTGGGAGGACTGCCTGCCTGAGTAGATTAAAAGCCCCTGCACTCCTCCCTCCCCTCCCTCCTTGGCCCTTCCCTGTGGTCAGGATGACCCAGCTGCCAGTCAAACAGCATCACTGGGCAGGAGGCAAGGAGGAGGGAAGACAAGATGGCTGCCTGAGAGCTTGTGAGGAAGAAGCTGAACAAACAGAGCCAAAACCTAGGAGTCAAATAAAGAGGCAAACTGAAAGATAGCCCTGATGAGAAGAGGCGACTGGAAAGGAGGCAGGGAGAAAGAGGTTATTTCCTCCCCTCAGACCGGCCTGAGGGAAAACTGTTTCCCTCAGATGGAGTAAAGATTTGGAAGAAGAGGAGAAGAATCAAGAAGCCCAGCCAGGAACAAACCAGCAGAAAAAAAATAGAATACAGAAACTTAAGAAAGATAAAAGGCCCACTGAACTCTACAGAAAGAGACACACAGCTCTATAGAGAGTGACAATAAAACTATACAGGGATTAAGACCACAGAAATATAGAACATTTTCCAGAAGTGGAAAAGCAGGTATAAAGGATGAAAAGGTAGTGTGTGGGAAGAAGAGAAACAATAGTCAAGTGCTTTACAACTAGAGTGTAGCTATCTAAAGGTTGCTCTGTAAGCGCTTCAGGCGCTGAACTAAACTGGGGAGTCCCAGGTTCACGTTGCCTCAGCCTTAGAAGCTCACTAAGAAATTCTGGACTAGCAGCAACCTCTCAGGCCAACCTACTTCATAGGGGAAGATTGGAGGAGTGAATGCTATGAGCTACAGGCAGTCCTCGTCTTATGCCGATTCGTTCAGCGACCATTCAAAGTTATGGCAGCACTGAAAAAATGGACTTACAATTGGTCCTTGAAGTTCTGGCAGTCGCAGCACCCCTATGGTCACTTGATTGCAATCTAGTCATGATTACAATGTCGCAGCAAGCCATGGTCATGTGATTGCCATCTGTGACCTTCCCTGCTGGCTTCCCACAAGCAAAGTCAATGGGGAAGCTAGCAGGGAAGGTCACAAGTCACTCCAACCGCTTTTTCTCCCAAGGAGCCCACTACAGAGTACAAGGTCCCAGGGATCTTATACTCCTTAGTACTACACTCACCCACCCTCTGTAGCACATGCCCACTCGCAACAGCCCCCTGACCCATGCGTGGCCTCTGTGGCCCTCCCCAGACCTCCCACAACCCTCACGTGGCTTCCACAGGTCCACCCATCTCCATTGCCTGAGACTCCTGCCTCTTTCCGTTTAACAACTCGGACGGTCCTGGGGTTCCAACAACAACTGGGACTGCCAGGACTGCTGTCGCTAAGCAATGTGGTCACCTGATGTCTCACTTTATGACCGCATTGCTTAACGATGGCAATCTCAGTCCCAATCACCATCGTAACCTGAGGACTACCTGTAATAGAAAAGGGGATAAAAATGAACAAATGCATAAATACAAACTATCTAGATGTTCCAGGATGTGTGGCTGATTGTATGACACTCCAGAAACAAAGTTTTCTTGTTTAAGACTGATATGACGACCCATCTTATGAAATACAATGCTGGGCAGCTCACAACAAATGCTTCTTCTAACCAGATAGCATGAAATAGATGCTGGAATTCTCTGACTCCTTTCTAATTAGAAGTCAGACTAAATTACCATTTAGTTTTGTTTTGGCTCAGCATGTTGGTAAACCTAGCCACCTACAGCAACAATCTCCTTCTCCTCTTCCTCCTCCTCCTCCCTTCTTATCATCATCCATCATGATTAAGCAAACATGATTTAGGGTAATATGTACCCTAAGTCAGTATGTCCTTAAAAGGTTCAGCTGCCAAGAGCTGAGTGGTTATGGAGTTCCAGTTCCAGTTATGGAGAAGCCAGGCAGCTTCGTCCAGAGCAGAGGGCCTTGAAAATTTCATGGAGGCCAGCAGAAATCTCAGGGCTATTGACATATGGAGTCCTCAAAACTAAATGCTATGCTTGTCATCTCAGAAAGTTATTATGCCACTAAAAAACAAACTCACCTTTTTTAGCTGTTGTTTCCATTGATTTTGCTTTTTCTATTTCAGAGTTCATAATCTCTGTAGGGCAAGGACAGGATAATTTAAGAATCAGAAATCTCTACTTGTTGACACTTAATATGAAAAGAGATAAAACATCAGATGCTCCCAGGAAAGGATGGAAGTATTAGCATAACATTATTTAAAGTTCTGCCTCTCCACCAGAAACTGGATGAAGAGTGGGAACAGAGAAAGACATCCGAACAATTACTGAAACTGTTATGTAGAACGATCAGTTGGTTTCATTTTTTAAATTTGAGGCACATGACGCAAAACAACAGCTAAATTTGAAATATGCTAAATTAGGAGATTTTAGTACAAAAGAGTTTTAATATTCTAGAATAGCATGTATCATAGATCCATGCCTATCTTATATTTAACACCTATGTAGAAAATACCAATAGATCTGGCTGAGATGTGTCTTGTCCCCTGAAAAGTATAAAACATGGAGAGAGGAGACTAAGGAAGTACTGAAGCCAGAACACAACAGATTACTTTCCAATTCTTGGCATAATTATGTTCCAAATCAATGCTTTTCTCTCCCTTTTACTGAATTCTCCTCCTTCCCACCAATCCCAGTTCATATGTTCTTTCCTCTTCATCTTTCTTGACAGAAAGCAGAACATATATTGCACAGCTCCATTCATAATACACACTTCACTGTACTATGTTAGACAAAAAGAAAAATCTTCAGTTTTCATAAAACAATAGTTAAAGGTAATTTGTAAATATTTTAAGTGAAATCATATGTGTTATTGTTGTACCTTGACATTTCTCCAGAGCTTCCTTTATCACAATATTATTCAGACTAAAATGGCCAAGTTTCTTTTTCAGATCCGTCGGAGAAGAGGAAATTTCCACCAACTGTGGCAGCTGTCCATTCTGACATCTACAGTGGATAGCACAGAATTACTGTACTGCAATAATATAATTTGATATATTAAGGCAACGGCTTGATTTAAAATTAGAGATCCTAAACCTCCTTGCCACTCACTTCCCAACTCATTAAGTCTGTATGATGTCAAAGAATATTTAGCAATATTCCAAGATCTAATGGGGAATCCTTCTGCTATAAGGGATGAGAAATATCTCCTTGTTTGCAATGGGCCCTGAGGCAAGAAGAATGTTTACTGCAGAGAAAAACAAAATGATTTATAATTGAGAGACAGCACAGATAAAAGTCTGATCATTAAAAAGGACTGAAACTTCAATACCCTAGGGACTAGAAGGAGAAATAACACATATAAATATACATAGTGCTTTAGTACCCAAAAGTTGCCAAGAGAGGTATTTTTAACTCTCTCTCTCTCCCTCCCTTCCCCATCCCCCATAAATATTATCTGTAAAAAAGAATGAAAACAACAGTCTTGATTAGGCTATTTCTTTTTTTTTCTTATTCCTTTTTCCAACTCACAGACTCATTTTGGGAATTAAAAAAAAAAGCAACACATATCTCTTCCTCTTTGGGTTGCTCCATGGATGTGGCGCTTATTCCAGTGCAGCCCTCCTCACTCCTTGAAAAGGGAGCTGCAATGTTCCATAAGTGTACTAGCAATAGTGCTAGACTATATTTCAGGCTATCTGGAAGATATACCTACCCTCTGCTCTGTCCTTCTCCAACCTGGAAGCTCTCCAGATGTAAGGGCCTCAACCCCAAGAACTCTTAGCGAGCATGGCCATAGGGTGAGAAGTGAACCCCGTAAAGCCAGGTTCACAGCAATGGCCTTAATGATGGATGGCCATGGATGGAGCAAGGGAAGATAAACCAAGATTCCTTCTTCAGATGACAATACTGCCTTAAAAACTTTAGTAAAGGTGGACTTAAGGCAAGCTTAACCCAGTTCCACAGACAGTGATGGGAGTCTGCAAAAGAGCTACCCACCTGTTCAAGATGGCCCCGATGTCCTTAGGAATTGAGAGAAACAGAAAGATCAGTCTCACATTTGTTATTAAATATTGTCCAAGTACTCAGAAATAAGATGGCAAATAAAGAGAATATAGCCTGGTAAAGACCTGGACTAGTATCTGTTTAAAATCCATTTCAGTAATTTTATAATAGAAACGCGATAAA